CTTTTCAGTACAGAAAACATCACATTCCGGGAAAAAAAGTTCCACATATAATTATATATAATTATATGCAAAATATATCCATATATGTGTCTTTCTTTTGTAAAATTATTCTTTAATACAAAATTAATGATAATAAAACGGAAACATAAAAAATAATTAAAAGAATAATTTTTACATTGCTTTGTTTTACAAAAAATCAAGTGTGAAGAAATGAGAAAAATTGTTCATATATAATTATATCTGTATATTTTTAATCACTTATATATGATTATATATGAGCAATTTTTCTCATTTCTTCAAATGATTTTTTAATTGATTTTCAATTAATTTTTTGTAAAAAAAATAATATAAAAATTATTCTTTTAATTATTTTTTATGTTTTCTTCTTATTATCATCAATTTTGTATTAAAAAATTATTTTACAAAGGAAAGAAACATATAAGGACATATTTTGTATATAATTATGTATAATTATATGTGGAACTTTTTTTCCCGGGATGGTAGAGAATAATTAAGTTAATAATAACTGCAAAACGATCCAAAATCAGCAGCAAGTCCAGTAGTAGCTAAATATTATAAAAATGCGTACAAACGCATCGCTTGCCAAATATTACACAAGAAAGATTTCTACCGACTAGGCATGCCTAATTATTCTCATATCTGATTCGTTATCTTAGAATTTTTAATAATTCTCTAATTATTAATATATTATTTTTAACTATACTATTGTATACAATATAACTATACTATTTATTATATATTATATAACTATTGTTTTATTAGGTGTGTTAAAAGCCAAGGGGGTCGACGAATGTGTTTTTGAAGCTGCAGAAAGTGAATGGTTCCGCCATTAATAAGCTGCGACATAGACGAGAAGAAAAAAGTATTGCCTGATATTATAAAGAATATATAAAGAATATAACAATATATAAAGAAGAAATACGTGATGTAGACAAAAAGGAAACACAATTAATAACTGTGACTTATCTTTCTCGTGCCGCACAACCGATGAGTCACACGATTGCGTTATCTTTCTCTGCTGTTTTTCACTGTACGCGTATATTGCATTTACGACTTAACGTTTATATTTGTTTTAAAATCAAAAATTCAATTTTTTTATTTTTCTACTTCTTTATTTTATTTTTCCCGACAGCACGGGACGTCTGCATAAAAACATTTCAACTTAATTGTGGTGTGGAGACATTAACTGTTTTTATGTGCTTGGTAATTTTCACACGCTAGAAAGCGTTTCTTTTGCAGAAAAAAATATATAATCATGTAATAATGGTAGCTGTAGATATTTACTCGTCAATATTTCTACAATATTAAAAATTAGAAGTACTTTTCTTACGGAAAGGTTGTAAAGTTTTCACGATTCAAATCCGAGAAAGATTATATCGAATAATGTGTAATAATGCAAATTGCTTTAATGTGTCATAAATGACTTCATTTCGTTTGATAAAATTATATCTGTGATGCAAAAAAAGTTTTTTTATTTCGTGTTTAAATTTTGATACATAGAAAAATTAAGCAGTAAGATACAATAAACTGTACCAAATCAAAATTTTTAATATGCTGCTGTTTACATTCTTGATGTAATTGATTAATTCATTTACTGCTTACATTTTTCTATATATCACAATCTTCTATATACTGATTAGTGTTATTAACTGTTTAATTTCGTGATAACGTAGCTGTGTTATTCATTATTTATCATAATTGATATAAATAGTTTAATTAATTGGTAAAATTGTTTTAATACAAACATCCATTCTTAGAAATTACTCTAACAATATGTATACGTATAATATTTATATATATAATTATAGATACATATTCTATATTTACTGTACGTGCATATATATAAAAAATATTTATACATATATGTATTATTTTATTATTATATATTATTTTATATATATTATTTTATTTCCTTACATTTCTATTCTAAATATAAATATTGATTATAAATACGTAATCTTATCTACAACAAAAATATTTCTAATATTTCTAATAAAAGTATAAGCACATATAATGTTTATTTGTATAACATATATAAATTACATAACACAGATATATTACATAATATAAAAAATATGTAACACATACACAGTGCGGCCCATAAGTTCTGGGACTGATTTTTATGCAGCCTTCCCATTGACGCCATATGTCAGACGACTGTTGAACTAGTAGTTTATTGAACCTTTTCGAACAACCATGTTGAGTGGCATAATTTTAGCCGCAGTTGTTGAAGACTGCGGACGTTTGATATAGCCTGATGTTTTGTGTGTGTGTGTGTGTGTGTGTGTGTGTGTGGGTGTGTGTGTGTGTGTGTGTGTGTGTGTGTGTGTCACACACACAC